CCCCACATCTCCCCACAGGATGTTCAGCCTGAACACGGTTGCCCAACTCTGGTACTTTGTGAAATGCATCTACTTCGCCCTGTCGGCTTATCAGATCCGCTGCGGCTACCCCACTCGTATCCTGGGCAACTTCCTCACCAAGAAATACAACCACCTCAACCTGTTCCTCTTCCAAGGGTACCTGCCCCAGAGGGGAGGCACTGCTACCCTAAGCCAAGTGGCTGGGGGGTAGGGATAGGGGGTTGCCCTCTGATAGTAGCATGGGGTGGGGTTGCAGGGGTCGACCCCCAGCCAAGACCAGCATTTGGGACAGGAGGTGAAGGATGCTGGTCAGCTTGGCTCCCGGGGACGTGCAACCGGCACCCTCCCCAACACCTCTTAAACACCCCCCCGCTACAGGTTTCGCCTGGTGCCGTTCCTGGTGGAGCTGCGCGCCGTGATGGACTGGGTCTGGACCGACACCACGCTGTCCCTGTCCAACTGGATGTGCGTGGAGGACATCTACGCCAACATCTTCATCATCAAGTGCAGCCGGGAGACCGAGAAGGTGGGCACTGCCCGTCCCTGGCCCTGGGTCCCTCTCCAGCAAGGGCTGCTACCTCCCTTGGGGACCCTACCCTGAACCCCCGCTCCCCCTCCACAGAAATACCCACAGCCCAAGGGCCAGAAGAAGAAGAAGATCGTCAAGTACGGCATGGGCGGCCTCATCATCCTCTTCCTCATCTGCATCATCTGGTTCCCGCTGCTCTTCATGTCGCTTGTGCGCTCCGTGGTGGGGGTGGTCAACCACCCCATCGACGTCACCGTCACCCTCAAGCTGGGTGGCTATGAGGTAACAGGGGGCGGAGCCTGTTCCAACTGGGGGCGGAGCTTGTGTTCCAGGTAGGGGTGGCGCTTGATATGGGGGGGCACAGCTTGTGCCCCAGCTGGGGGTGGGGCTTGTCCTAGAGGAGGAGCCTGTGCCCTAGATGGGGGTGGAGCTTGTCATGCCACACTTTAAGAGGGATGTGGACAGCATGGAGAGGGTCCAGAGGAGGCCACTCGTATGATCAAGGGACAGCAGGGCAGGTCCTATGAGGAAAGGTTGCGGGACCTGAACCTGTTCAGCCTTCAAAAGAGAAGGCTGAGGGGGGATCTTGTGGCCTGTTATAAACTGGTTAGGGGGGATCAGCAGGCGCTGGGGGAGTCCCTGTTCCCCCGAGCGCCGCAAGGAGTGACCAGGAACAACGGTCACAAGCTGGCGGAGGGAAGGTTTAAGTTGGACATCAGGAGGCGCTACTTCACGGTCAGGGCGGCTAGGGTCTGGAACCAGCTTCCAAGTGAGGTGGTGCAGGCTCCCACCCTGGGGGTTTTTAAGAGGAGGTTGGATGACCACCTTACTGGGGTCGTTTGACCCCAGTGCTATTCCTACTGTGGCAGGGGGTCGGACTAGATGATCTGCTCAGGTCCCTTCCTACCCTAGAAACCATGAAACTATGAAACTATGGGGGTGGGGGTGGTGTCTCATATGGGGGTGGAGCTTGTCCTCGGGGCAGAGCTTGTTTTGGATGGGGGCTCAGCATGTCCTGGAGGAGGAGCCTGTGCCCCAGGTGGGGGTGGAGCTTGTGCCCCAGGTGGGGATGAAGTCTGTGGTCTGCCAGGGCAGGAGGGCGGTGCCACCAGGGGCAGATGCCCATCTCACCCACCGCCCTGGCTGCAGAGGGACGAGCTGCCTGGTTGGCAGGGCAGGGCTCTGTCCTTGGAGCCAGGACTCCTGGGTCCTCTCTTGGCTCGTGCTGGACCCCAGGGCCGGGCAGAGCCCTGGGAGACCCTCCCAAGGTGATGTGCAGTCCCTGCTCTCCATAGTGGACTGCCTGGGGGGAGGGGGTCCTGAGTCTCTACCCTCTCCCCCCATACTGACGGCTTCCCCCTTCCCTGTGCCACAGCCTCTCTTCACCATGAGCGCGCAGCAGCAGTCGATCCAGCCCTTCACGCCCCGCAACTACGAGGACCTCACCAAGCAGTTCGAGAGGCAGCCGGTGAGGGACCCCCAGTGCTCCTGAGGGGCAGGGCCTGGCTGCCGGGGCGGGGGGGTTGCTCTATGGCTCCGGGCTCTGACCCCTCTCCCCCACCGGGTGCCATGCTGCAGGTGGCTATGCAGTTCATCACGCTGTATGGCTACGAGGACATCGTGACGGCGCGGATCGAGGGCAGCTCTGGCTCGGTGTGGAGCATCAGCCCCCCCAGCCGTGAGCAGATGCGCTGCGAGCTGCAGAATGGCTCGTCTGACATCACCCTCCGCTTTACCTGGAGCTTCCAGAGGTGCAGGCAGGGGCTGGAGCAGGGGCAGGGACTTCCAGAGGTCCCAGCCGGGCTGGGCAGGTGCCCCGTCCTGTCCCTGCTCCTGGCTCACGTCCTCCCTCCCCACAGGGACCTGGGCAAGGGCGGCACCGTGGAGCACACCTTTGACAAGCACACTACCGACCTGCAGCCTGGCACCCCCGTGCGCTCCGAGCTGGCCCAGCTGCTGCAGGGCACCCGGGATGCCCCCGTGTGAGTGCAGGGCTGGTGGGGAGCTGGGGGTCTGGCTGGGATGGGTCTCCCAGCCTGCTGCCTCCTGGCCTGGGTGGGCAGAACCCTTGCACTATGCAGCGGGGAGGGGGTGCTGGTGGGAGTCCAGGGCCATCGTGCCCACAGGCAGATGTGGAAAGGGGCAACTGGAACCAGTCAGGGGTTGGTTGCTTCAGCCAGCATCTATGGGACTGGCTGCCAGAGCTATGCAGGGTCCTTGCTGCCAGCAGCCAGCTCAGCCCCCAGTGCCAGCTGGTTTGGAAGGACCCAGGTGTCCGGGCTGGCACGCCTGGAGCTGCTGCATAGGGGTACAGCAACCCTACAGCCTGTACCAAGACCCTGTCACACCAAGCTGAGATGGACAGACAGGGCCGGTGGTCTCTATCACACCTCACTCTGTTGCAGGCGGGTCCCCAGGCTCTTCCCGCAGTACATCCGGGCGCCTAACGGCCCCGAGGCCAACCCTGTCAAGCAGCTGCTGCCCGGTGAGTGAGCTTACCTGGGGGTATTCCTATAGTACCAGGCCCCTCACCTCTGCTTTGACCCTGGGGCCAGCAGATGCTGGGAGTTTGGGTACCCGTGGCTTGGTTTGGGGGCAAAGGGGAAGGCAACTGGGGGGAGAATGAGCCTTGTGTCCCTCTGTCTTGCTGTCACACCAGCAGAGACGGACATGGCCGAGGTCCCCCCACTCCTTGCTGCCCTGGAAGCAGCAATGGGGGGCACACAGGGTGGGAGCCCATGTCCTGACCCCCTCTCTCCCCCGCAGACGAGGAGGACAGCTACCTGGATGTGGAGGTTCAGCTGAAGCGGGAGCAGGTGGGCACGGGGGCTGGGGGCGACAGCTTCCTGGAGTGGTGGGTGGTGCAGCTGCAGGACTGCACCACCGACTGCAGCATCCTGCCCATGGTCATCTTCAACGACAAAGTCAGCCCGCCCAGCCTGGGCTTCCTGGCCGGCTACGGGTGAGTGCCAGGATCCCACACGCCACAGCCCTAAGAGCCCCCAGCCTCTGCTGGGAAAGGGTCATGGGTCTGCAACTTGGTGGGCAGGGATACGGACCTGGCTCTTGGGTCCTGCAGGGTGGGAGTGGGGAGAGACGCACCTTTTTGGTCCTGGGGCTGGAGGGGGGCACAGCTGCCCACAGCATGCTACAAGCTGTGCCCACTGCCATGCAAAAAGCAGGGCATGGGGGCTTCCGGGCCTCCCATCCCATTTCCCCTGCCGGCTGAGTGCCCTCAGGCTGTGGCTGGCTCCCCAGAGACCCTAGAAACAGGATCAAGGCCACCAGGCTGGACCAGACTGAAGCAGTGGGGTCCCACCTGGGTGTGGAGGGTGAGAGAAAGGAGAGCTGCCCCCCATGCTGACCCCAGTGCCGCCCCGGCAGGATCATGGGGCTGTACGTGTCCATCGTGCTGGTGATTGGGAAGTTCGTGCGGGGCTTCTTCAGCGAGATCTCGCACTCCATCATGTTCGAGGAGCTGCCGTGCGTGGACCGCATCCTCAAGCTGTGCCAGGACATCTTCCTCGTGCGCGAGACGGGCGAGCTGGCACTGGAGGAGGAACTCTATGCCAAGCTCATCTTCCTCTACCGCTCCCCTGAGACCATGATCAAGTGGACGCGGGAGAAGGAGTAGGGCCCTGGCCACCCCGTCTGTCACAGCGGATGCCTTACACCAGCGCCTGCCAGGGCAAGGAGGTGCCCGGAGCGGGGTGAGGGGGCCCACCATGAGCCACCCCCTGCCCTGGTCCTGAGCCGTGCCAGAGAGCAGAGGCGCCTGCGTGGGGGCTCAGCCGTGGGCTTTTTAAAAGGAACTTTCTTAACAGCTTAAAAAACCCTTAGAAAGGGGTGGGGGTGGCCAGCCCCATCCCTGCCTGCGGGGTGCTCCCCACCCCCCTGCCGCAGTGCCTTCCAGGCTGGGCTGCCCCCAGGCTGAGCTGCACCCCCAGAGCCCTGGCGTGGGTGCAGGTTGCACTACAAACACGTGGAAGCAATAGCCCCCCCTTCTCCCAGCGCAGCCCCGGGGCCCTCCGGGCGTTGTGGAGCTCAGGAGGGCCCCGGTGGCTCGCCGTGGACTTTGCCAAGCACCAGGAACTCAGCGGAGCGTGGCTGTTCCCCCCTACCCCACCCCGAGCCGTGGGGCTTGCTCCAGCTGGACTGTGGACTCTTTTGTAACGTCAAATGGTTTATTTATACAGATATATAATAAAAATCAAACCAAGGCTCTGTGCATCCTGGACTGACTGCTGGGGCAGGGGGTGGGATGGGGGTGAAGGGCCTGAAGCCACCTCACCCACTGTGCTGCCCACCGACCCCCTCTGCCTTTGCAGGCAGTCCTGGCGCGGGGCTGAGTTGGAGGCCCCGGAGCCAGGCTGGGGTTTGTGGAGGGCGGCTGTGCCCGCCTGGTCAGACAGACCATCTCAGGAACCGCAACCCAGGAGCTGCGGCCTCTAGCTGAAAGGCTGCTTGGAGCTAAGTGAGTGGACTGGGGCCAGTGCACGGGCACGGGATGAAGGCTCCAGTTGCTGGGAAACCCAGGCCTAAGCCATGCAGTGGTCTCCCCCAGGGAGCTGCCTCTCTTCTTTGAAAGAGACCTGATGCATTGCCCTTGGGGGCAACCGTGGGCCAGGCTCAGCTCTTGGGCTCCGCAGCCTCGTCCTCCAGCAAGTACTCCTGGATCTCCTGCTTTATTGCAGCCCTGCAAGGGAGCACGGCCTCAACGTCCAGCCTGGCGTGGAACCAGGTGCCCTTACTGTCATGGAGGGGGTAAGGGGTGCCTGGCCCTGCAGCAGGTGGGGCAGGGGCAAATCCGAAGGCTGCATGGCTGCCCAGTCTGATTTGTAACCCTGATCCTGGTCCAATGAACCCCCCTGCCATCTCCCCAGCCCGGTACCTGCGCCTCCTGCGCTCAGCCTCTGACCGGATATAGGGTGGGAGTGGCTCCAGGCAGGTCTGCAATGGGCAGGAGGTGAGAGGGGGGCATGGCTGTAGGGGCAGCAGGGTTTCTGCTCATGGGACACCCCCACCCCCAGACAGGTGCAGCACCCAGGTCCTTTGCCTGAGGTCTGGACTTCCAGCCCTGCCAGCAGTTAGGAGCTCTGGCTGCTGTCTCAGGGGCCAGACCCGGGGTCCCCTTCCTGCTGAAAGCAAAGCTCAGCACTGGGTGGAGGAGACGAGCTGGCCTGGCACCCCGGGGTGGGTGGCAGAAGACTTACCATGTCCTTGATGGTGAGTCTGCAGCCATAGCACAGCAATGGCAGGAAGTCAGCCCAGGCCTTGGTCCTGCGGGGAGAAGGCAGGAGGGAAGAGCTGAGCACCACAAGCTGCGCCTGGGCTGAGCCAGCTGCGGGTGGGGGAGAGGATCAGGAAGGCGGCTGCTC